CCTCTGGTTGGCTTCCCACCTTAAAATAATATTTCAAAATGAAGGTGGAGAAAGTAAGAGTTTTTGTTTTTTTAATATACACATCACGTTTTCTTGAGGTATCAAACCTAACAGTCATAATTTATTCCACAGACTATGACTAACTTTTTTTCCAAGACAGAAGAGATTAGGAACATTTTATTTTGTACCATTTAGGTTGCTTTTCAGCAAAGTCTCCAGGTCAAAGGTGCCCAGCAGCAGATTCCGCACCATGGCAGTAGCAGAGGTGGCAAGGCGGGCTGCTTTCCATGCTTCTGCCCGACAAAACAATCCAGAGCCCTTTATAACTTCAATCTAAAAAAATAATTTCAAATCACAATATTCATTTATTGGCAACTTTTAGAAACCTTTTGATGTTCCATATTGATTCTTATGCTTAGTTTCCCAATAGTAAATAGGTTTTATAAATGCAGATTAATGATAAAGATATGAATCAAAATAATCATTGCCCTAAACTTATAACACTAATTGGCTTCTACAAAGTACATAATATGTATTACTACATAATATGTTATTCACCTGTGTTTTTGCTGAGGTCTCAGCTCTTGATGCAGTCTTGTTTGAGAAGAAAAACATTGTTAAATTCAACAATTGTAAAACTTCAACAACTTTATGCATGTGGGGCAAGTAAATTATATATTACCACTAACTATCCCAACATAAAAATCCTTATAGCTCAGTTGGAGCCTTAAGTAAAATAAGTACAGACAAATCTGAGGTATAAAAGGGTTACACACACCTGGGATGTCTCTCCAACGAGCTCAGTCACCATGTGACTCTTTTTAAAGGGCTCGGTCTCCTCTGTGCTCGATCTCCTTTCTGAAATCTTAGAGAAGAAAGAAACATACCGTATTTTCCAGACTATAAGTTGCAGTTTTTTTTTCATAGTTTGGCCGGGGGTGCGACTTATACTCTGGAGCGACTTGTGTGTGAAATTATTACACATTTTTACCGGTATATCATTACACCTGTTATTTTCAAACCAAACAGAAGACAAGCTGTGCGCGTAGCTGGGGGAAGAAGACATGGTTTGCGCGGACGAGTGGGGGGGGGGGTTTGGGGTAGAAGAGCGGAGCGGAGCGCCAGTTATTTCACTATATGCACGCGCGAAAGCAACAACAAAAAATGTGACTTATACTCCAGTGCGACTTATATATGTTTTTTTTCCCTTTATTATGCATTTAATGGCTGGTGCGACTTGAACCCCGGAGCGACTTATAGTCCGGAAAATATGGTAGTAAAACTCTACAACAATTTTTATTCATCCAAGGAAGCCAATAGATTCTTATTTACAGGCTTGGAAAACATTAAACATGTCAATAAATTAAAGTTACATGCAAAAGTAATCAGCGAAAAATAATCAAATCCATACAGCTGTTTAAGTAACCAGTACACTAAATAAATAAATAAAAATGCAAGTGGGTTACCCACCGGTTGCACAAAAGGCAAGAAGGAGGAATCAAGATCTTCCACAGGAGTCCTTCCAGTCTTGTCCATAAAAGAAAAATAAAGTTAGTCACTTCAATACATTAAAGTGCAAATACATGAAATAATTAACACTATAAATTAGCCCAACATCACAATTCTCTACAGCTCTGCCTGAGAAACAATTTTAAAAAACAATGACAATCAGAAGAAATTACCTTTTGAGCAATAATGGAGAGGTCACTTTGAATTTGAAGGATATCTAGAAAGAAGTTATACCAAGAATAAATCACAATCCTCAAATCAAAATAGCACCCAGCATCTTAGTCTTTGAAACAGCATGCAAGCCCCCTTAGCCCATTGATAAGGCACTGCAGAGGAAACCTATTTCAGAACACAATTTTCTTTCTCCAATTTCTCCCAAATTCTAATTCCTCAGGGGATTTTTCTGGAGCCGATTGCCTTCTTGAGCCATTGAAGGCAGAGAAGCATCATTTATCTAATGAACTGCATATTCTCTAGGTCATGTATTTTGTTAAGCTTCTACAAATTTAACCAGAAAGAGAGAAATATATATAATTAGGGCCCGAGCACGGAGTACAAGGATCCTATTGAAACTGCTAGTATTATATTTCTTCTTTTTCTTTTTTCTACATAGTAACCTCAAATTTGGGGGACTAAACATTCTCAAAAAGTCAACTTGAAAACAGTCCCAGGACACTCATAACACATTGATTTAACCAATGATGTAAAACTCTGGTGTTTTAGGTTAACGACGTGGCGGTGGCGTGCTGTCAAAGTTTGATGTTTCGCCATTACAGAAGAAATTATTGTAACTAGGGCTGCAACAACGAATCGATAAAATCTATAAAAATCGACTTTCAAAAGCGTTGGCAACGAATTTCATCATCGATTAGTTGTGTCGCGCGATTAATGCGTCATCCGCCGTCATCACTGCCACTTGACTGAAACGGGGGAAGAAAAAAAATTACGGCAGAGCGAGCCAGCGCTGCAGGTGCGCAGTGTTGCCAACTCAGCGACTTTGTCGCTATATTTAGCGACTTTTCAGACCCCTCCAGCGACTATTTTTCAAAAAAGCGGCTAGAGACAAATCTGGCGAGTTTTTACGGTGTCACTGGCGGCTTTTGGAGACTCTTACGTGAAAGCATGTATTGTTCCTACTCTTGTCCTCCAGCGGCAGCTGCTGCCTTGAGGCACCTCCCCCATCCCAACCCCCGTTCTCCCGCAGGACTCCCTCTCAGCGCTGCTGTCAGAGCCGCAGGATGTTTACCCTCAGCGTCCAGACTGCAAATGAAGCGCGCATGCGCCGGGATTGATCACAATAATTAAAATAGCCTTTATAAATAAATTAACTTGCAAATTATGAGGGCAAGGCTTTTAAAGTTTAAAGTAAAGAAGATCCTGCAATTTATGGAAGTAAAGCAGAATAAAATCCAGGAAGATCAGTAATATGTCAATTAATTATATGCCACATTCCCATGTAAATATCTGTCTTTGGAGGATGTGTTTTTTAGCACCCCTAGTTCTCTCATTTTTATTCCAAATACAATTTATAATTTGAATCACAGGGCTATTTTTATCTCTATGGTTAAGTATTTTCTCAAGTAGCAACTTTAACTGCTATACTTTCCTGTCTTAAAAGGCAGAACTCTTCTAGTCTAAAAAACCTAATTTGTTGAAATGGGGGGCCTATTGTTTGAACCCCTTAGGAGCTTTTAAAAACAAAAATGTCTTTTTTTGCGCTTTATGAAACAAAGTAGCCTATATTTTGTGGATGTACAGCTACATTTCTCATGTAAGTTTGCGTAGTTTTAACACAAACATTTATTTTTCATATTGCACCAGTACAGTTAATGAGCAACCTGTACTTGTGTGCTTGTTTGTTCTGTCTAAAATGTTTATTTTGGAATAAAGAGGTTAATATAAAAAATATTTTTTGTCCGATTCATCGATTAATCGAAAAAATAATCGGCCGATTCATCGATTTTTAAAATAATCGTTAGTTGCAGCCCTAATTTTAACCATGTTTTATCCGTCTATTTATGTTTAAGAAAAGGGAGTTTTGCAAGTAGGAAGTAACGTGTTGCCATGTAAACAGATCAACGCTTGACAACGAACTACGTCATCGGTCACGTGACACGGCGGGTAAATATTTTTAAGGAGGCTTGAGCTAAAAAGCCTAAAAAATCCAATTTGTCATCGAAATTTTTAATTTGTTTTTACTCAGGTCATATTGATATATGAACTTTCTAATATATAGCAACTTGTATGATCTCAGAATCAAGAAGTACTTTAACTCCCAACTGGAGTAAGCTAACATTAGCAAATGAAGTAATGTTAATGTTAGCTCACATGAGCCTTGCAAGCCGGCATAGCAAGATCCATTTTACACTTTTTCAAGTGCGAGCAAAGCCATTTAATATTTTATCGTTATATAACGTTAACTACATAACATCAGATGAAGTTAGCTTAACTTACTTGCCACTTCAATAATTCTGGCTCGGTGCACCGGCCACGGTTGGCGGCCTTTTCTCCATTCCACCAGCTTCTCAGTTTTTTCCGTCCTCTTAAGAAATTCTTTAAATGAAAAATTTCGGACACAGTCGATGGGCAAAATACTATGCGCCCCTCCGTCCTCACCCTCAGTTCATTCTAGTAGAACATAACGGAGCTCTCCTGCTGATATTGCCATTATTGTGCCCAACCGCTATCTTTCCGCGCGAAATCTGATGAAGTGGATGATGACGTCATGAAACTACGTGAAGCCATAGCGGTCAATCTTTATAGGGGTGATTCTCTGAATTGGGCCCTTTTGGCCTCATTCTTTTTTTTTTTTTTTTTTTATCAAATAGTTATATTTCTGATCTTTTCATGTGATAGTGGATTAGTCAAACCTTTTAGAAAATATGTTTTCCCACCTCAGGTATGAAATTCTAATCGTTATTTAGTGTTTTTTCTTAGTGAAAATTGTTTTTGAGTTCAACCCCGTCAAGTTGGACCCTGTGTGAATATGAATTTAAAAGATTTTCAAGTAAATTCATGTAGAAGGTTTTTAATGACATGTCCCTTGTTTGATATAATTTATTGCATGTAGAATTTTAGGTAACACTTTATTTTAAGGTACACCTATTCACTATTAATTAGTTGCTAATTAACATGCAAATTAGTAACATATTAGCTATTAATTAGTTGTTATAAAGTACTTATTAATGTCTTATTCTACATAGCCTTATTATACAACCAGTAGGCCATTAACTAAGAGTCTTCCCTCAGTAACCTCAGAATTATTGCTTATTAGCACTAAGTAAGGAAGTTGTTGTATATTAATTATCATCTCAGTATGCTTTGATTAGTATGGACTTTATAAGGCAGTAGTAGCCCAAGAATAGTTATTCTCCACTTAACATTACTTTTCATTACCACTTAGTAAATATGGTCTGTTCTTACTTTACAAAACTAGCGTCCAAATAGCTCTTAATTAAGTCTTTGTTACTTAGAATATGTTCCCCATACTAAAGTGGCATCTTGATCATTACTAATTCACTAATAGTTGAACACTTATTCACCAACAAATGTTCCCTAAACTAAAGTTGCCTCCTTTTCACAATTAGTAAATATATTGTAGCACATAATTACTGCAATAAACAAGTGATGGGTTACACCTTTGAAAAAACTGCTTTATCTATAGGTTCCCTCTAATTCAGTGGTAAAATAACAAAGACAGCACAAGTATAAATTCCTCATTTATTAATCCACTGGTTCAGGTTTTCCAGAGGCTTACAAATACTGGTTGAACAGGTAAAAGGGTCTTCCTGAAATTTCAAATACTGACAACTCTAAGTGGATCTTACTGTATAATAACACAGGTAACCTAATGTTGAAAAACACTGCACAACAGAAAGTACAGAAAATACAAAAAAAAAAAAGAAATATAAAAAATATAAAATCTGCACAGTTCAACATGAGTGGAGAAGTTGGCATTTGGCCTTCATGTCCACGAAAATAGCCTTATCCCAGAGAAAGCAGTACATTTAGTGTGTCAAACCTTTTAGTGGTTGTAGTATAAATATCAAGTTGATATCTTTATCTACATTTCAGACAGGTTTTATACTGGATATTCTTTTCTAATGTCGTGCAAAAGCATTCCAAGTGGTCCGTTACTGTGATGGTTTCCACGCCAATATGTCCACTCAATTACATCTAAGTGATCCCTCAACAGTTTTTGTGTGCGGTTCCCTCTTTGTCTCCAAATAGTTGATTTGCAAATACCCCAAAATCTCTCCAAGTTTTGTGTATGTGCACCTGTAACAGGGTCAACAAAAAAATCTTGATGGTTGACAGTCAGGTGGTTGTAACCTTCATCCTGAAGACGGCGGTAAGACCTCCACCCATCTGAAATGACGGAGCTTCCACGACGAACATGCTTCTTTATTAGAGGCAAGAGATGCCTGGCTGAACGGTGAGGCACAATCTTAAGGATGGGTCTCCTTCTGTCATCCTTAATCCCTAGCATTCTGAATACCCAGGAACTCCTGTTGCTTGCCCGTCCTCTGTTGTACTGAAATTCACAAGAGTAAATATTTAAAAATGGGGACAATGATTCTGCAATAATGGTGAGAGATGGGAGAGTTCTCTTTAATTTTGGAGTCCTGGTTCATGTTTACCAACTATTCTGGGGTGTAGAAATAATGCAGTTTCTTAAAAGTGACATTCCTCTCGAATGCATCAATGAACTACAATTCTTCTTATTCTATAATGCAGTAGTTACTTCTCGAGATCCAGGAGACAAACCTCCAAGCACCTTAGGCAAAATCAGGTTTTAAATGTATGTATACTGTCTCTACAGATTAGGGCTGAGTATTGTTACTGTAAGAATCTCACAACTCAATTAGATTTAGATTCTTGGGGTCGCGATTTCATTTCGATTCAATCTAAATTTAAATGCTTCAATGTCAATTCAGTAAGAAGTAGGAACTCTGTTGTAGATTTTTAAATATTTATTTTCATGCCCATGTGACCAGATGTAGTATGTCAAGTCATATTTTTGTGTAATAAAACATCTGAAAATCAAAAAAATATTTGCAATTTTTGTGTTGTATGATCTAACATTGCCTTTGTCCATACAATGTTAATAACAAATACAGCTCCCCTCATTGGTCAGGAGTGGAATCGATTCAGAGGATTTGCGATTTGATATTGAATTGCACAGGAAAGTATTGCGATTGGTCAGTAAATCGATATTTTTACCAACCCCTACACGGACAGTAGCTTAGATTAGGACAGACTTAAAAACATCAAAAACATGTTTTTAGACACAAAAATCATGTATTTGGCATTGAAATAATACTCATAGTATAAATTTCATACCTTTCTTTTATGGCCAAATTTGCTTTCATCTATCATAACAATCTCTGTCCTTTGTCCAACGGTCTGCTTGCCTCTTCTTCTCATTCTTTTCATTCCTGATTTGCAAACTCTCCGCAGCTTGTCTGCAAGTTTACTCAGAGTTGCAGAACTCTGAGTAATTCCCTCTTGCAGCATGTCCACTTGCCTTAGTCGAAGGCCTTGAGCAAATCTGTAAAAGATCAACCAGATAAATATTCTAATGACACAGTTCAGAAGTGAGTGGTTAAAACCAATTTCTTGAGTTGTTATTAACCTTTTTATAACCACAATTCCTCATTTGCAGTCCCATTTTCAGACACAGCAGATACTCATAGACTGAATAGAAAAGTGTTTTTAACCTCAAACAACCAATGTCAAATGCAAAGTAGGGTAAAGAGCATTCACTATATGAAGAGCTGAATGGAACGAAACCCCAAATTAATTAAATCTGCTGTATCTTTGAAGAGTTGTAAGAAAATAAAATGGATACTGAGTAAATAAGTATAGTGAAGTGTTGATTTAAAAAGTTTAATTTTTTTGAGAAAATTTCCTGGAACCACCTAAAACCTAAAAATCCATGAGACCTTTGTACTACAATGGAGTCTTCGCAACCCAGAACTTACACAATTACACATACTTGATAAATTTGACTGATATTCAGAATTCTTCCCATATACTGAATGTCACATAAGCATTGGCTCTAATAGGACCCATCCCAACCAACAGTATAGCAAGAGAATATTAACAGAAACATTATGGTCTGAATTTAATTTTGTCTTTGATGGCTTTTGTTATTATAAAATGTAAAACCATGCACCTGTAGATGTAATGCATCCACGTTTGCAGCCGAAGGTGCGATTTCTCAAAGATGGAGCCAGTCCGGATCGACCTTGATACTGTTTTCCCTTTGTGACAGGAATCTCGACAAATCCTGAAATTAAATCCAAAGGTTAATTTGTAAAAATAAAAACCCATGATACTGTAATGAGTTTACTAAATAAACTGTAACATAAATGAAGATGAAGAGGGGGACAGATATTTATGTAAACTGAGTAAATTTAGCTTTGTCTACTTGTCACTGTGCCACGACATGAAAGGGTGATATGATATCAATAAATCCCTGTGCATGTACAAGTTTAAAGTCAAGCTGATATAATAATAATACATAAGTGAACAATATGTCCAGTAATGTGAACTTTTTTTTTAAAGGCATTTTTCATTTCAGACTTTGTACACATGTAGCACTTCGTATATTTAGTATCTCTACCAAATATACAGTAGCTCACTTAAAAATTTAAATTTGCAGCTGTGTTTGATTTCTGTTGTGACTTTGTAGATGTCTGTTTGTATATATATATATATATATATATATATATATATATATATATATATATATATATATATATATATATACACATCTTGGATGACTGCACGCTGCACACTCCCCAATGCTTATACACAAAAAATGTATAAATAAGGCACATGTCTAGTTGCTCTACTCACCATGCTGCTTCCTTTTTGTAGTAGGTCCGTTTCAACTTCATGACATGAGAGCAAGAGGGGCATTTCATCCATTTTCGAAGAAGGCCTTCTCTCATTAACCACCTGGTGAACCTGTAGTTTTCTTTGGGGCACTGTCTAAAATGTATTCGACTCAAAAACTCATAACCTAACATCTTCTCATAATTTCATGCTTTTTCATCTCATTCCATGAAGTTTTTCTTTCTTTCTTTCTGTGAAAAGGGAATGCGTACAATCTGGTAGTACTGCTTAAAAAAAGCGCTAAGTGACCACTTTGTTGAGAAGTGAATGACATAAGAATCTACCAATCCGTAGCCGTGCTCCTTCGATGTGTTGCTCTCATCCAATCATTGATTGTTACACTGCCGTCATGTGACATTCTCATCCAATCATCCAAACGGAGCCACCTGTCAGTCAGATCCGGAGAAGGTGACCGTTAACGTTTCTTTTTACAGCTTGGAGAGTGAAAAAGGAAATTTGTGTTGGAAAAATGGTAAGTTAACCGCTAACCTTTCAGTTGAAAGTCCTCCTGAGCTTTGTTTACATAGTCGTTGACATGGTGAAAGTAGTAAACACTCCCGTTTATCTGCAATGTCGATGCTAATTAGCTAATGTAATGTCAAGCTAGCTGAGTGAAGGTGCATAATGCTTTAATATTAATTTGAACCAGAGAATGGGACTCGAATCGACACGAGTTGCCATTTTTATTACTTTTGACTTGACTTGACAGAAAGTAACGGCAACACTTTATTTTATTTTGAATGCACCGCCGAAAAAAGAGAGAGCGGGGGTGGGGTGGGGTTGGGGGGGGGTGGGGGTATAGGCAATATGCAGTTGTTCAACAAGAAGAGATTTTAAATCTTGTGTAGATTATCATTAAGTTAGATTTTGCCAGATGTAGCTAAACTAATTTATTTATATTTTTACAGCCTAAGGCCAAGAAGAAAATGTCATTAAAAGTCCCCGAAGATGACTTGGTGACCGGGGAGACCAAAAAGGATCTGGATGGTAAATTTTTCTTTATCTTTCAAGAAACTGTAACAGTTAAATAGTTATCTATTCTAAATGTCTTTAAACATTTAAAGTAATCTATTCATATGTATAAATTTTGTTGTACCTATGTCATACTGCAGGTCTTGAAGATAAAGGAGATAAAGCCTCTGCTCCAAGTTGCAGCAGCATAAGCAGTGTTGGATCAGGTAATGATTTCTCATTTTATAGAAGTGTATCTTTGTTGTCTAAAGTGAGTTTAATTTCTTGGGTGATTTTTTTTTTTTTTTTTTGCTTAGATTGAAGAAACAGTTTTAACAGTATACAAGTTTGTGCTTGCAAATCAAATTAAGGCACATACCATATCTGGTCAACTACCTTTGTTGCATGCATGTCGTTCTCTTTCTGTCTCACTCATTTAATACCATAAATTCATAATCTTTTTCTATCCTGCTCTCATTTTTAAGGATCAATTTCCAAAGTGGAGTTCCTAGGAGCCAAAATCCAATGGCAAGAAAAGATAATAAAGGATCTTGAGCAAGAGCGCAATTTCTTGCGTGAGCAAATCACAGGAAAGAAGAGGTCATGTAAGTTATTTGGGAGCAACTTGTATATGCAAAATATAATGTAATTGCAATGAATGGTGTGATATATTTTCATAACAATCTGATCTTTGTTATATCTGTTCTCTATTTTATCAAAGCTCAATCTAAAGTATTAACGTTGGAGGACAACGATGAGGATGATGATGGCAACATGGATGAAGATGACATCATTCCCCCATCTTCTCCAGACATCAGTGAGTCCTCGGACAGTGACGTTGTCATCCAAAGAAAGAAGAAACGGCCACAGCCGTTTCAGCCGTTGCAGGTGGCCACAGCCACCTGCAACTGTTGCTGTTGGTGGAAAAGCTCATGTAAGAGGTAAGAATGGCTGACTTGAACCACCTCCCCTTTTAGCACCCACTGGTCATGAAAAAGGTGTTTGAAGAGCTGTCATGAATATGTCCTGAAGTAATTATGAGGGAAAAATACAGATTTTAAATTCTAGATTCTGAATATACTGGAAATCTGATGATAAATAAAAATGAAATGAGTAAACAATTTGGCTTTTATCAAGAATAAAGTTACATTTTATTTTGCAGAATTCACACTAATTATTATCCGTAGTCAAATGTATTGGTAGAAAGATTTGTCTCTCAGAATTAAACACCATTCATATCAGTCATAAGACTTACCAACTGAACGGATCTTACAATATAGTAGTATAATTTTTGTATTAAGTTCTGAACCCCATATTGAGCGTGAAATAATATCAGAAGATGAGTAGATTCTTCAATTTCTAAAATAGGTTTTATACTTCATCAAAGGAGAAGTGACCAGTTTAAGACAATTCAGTTGACCTTAAGCTGTGGGTTGTGTTCATTTTTTGTGTTTTTTATTTTATATATTTTTCAGTGAAAGGGCCAGCTGAGGTTATCAGCAGATATAAAAAAGTCTTGAAAAGCTTGAGCAAAGTCCGCACCATGACTGAAGCCTTCAGAATCAATGGCGTGGACCGGGGAACCATCAAGATGACTGCTCCAATTGCAGAGCTCCACATTGTGGATCCTGTAGCCTTCAGCACTCTGAAGTATGATCCTGCAACTGAGACCCTGCAGTCCTTTGCTAAGAGGTGTGCAACGCACATAACCCCTGAGAAGAAGCGCATTATAGAGGACATGAAGGCCAAATGCCAACTTCTCCCCTTGTTGATGAAATATTAAGACTTAGGGAAGCTGCTATGTTCAGTTAAGATTCTGTTGTATTTCAAAAGTGAAAGTTTTGTGCACAGGGGAATAAATCATCTGATGCAGTGATAACAGAGCAAGTTTAGGCTGTGGAAGTGCAATGTTTGTACAGTTCAGTACATTTGATCTAACCTTTGACAAGTCATGTTGAACTGCAGATTTTATATTTTTTATATTTCTTTTTTTTTTTTTGTATTTTCTGTACTTTCTGTTGTGCAGTGTTTTTCAACATTAGGTTACCTGTGTTATTATACAGTAAGATCCACTTAGAGTTGTCAGTATTTGAAATTTCAGGAAGACCCTTTTACCTGTTCAACCAGTATTTGTAAGCCTCTGGAAAACCTGAACCAGTGGATTAATAAATGAGGAATTTATACTTGTGCTGTCTTTGTTATTTTACCACTGAATTAGAGGGAACCTATAGATAAAGCAGTTTTTTCAAAGGTGTAACCCATCACTTGTTTATTGCAGTAATTATGTGCTACAATATATTTACTAATTGTGAAAAGGAGGCAACTTTAGTTTAGGGAACATTTGTTGGTGAATAAGTGTTCAACTACACTGTAAACCCGAATGCTCAAAATAATTAATTAGAATAAGTACAATGAACTTAAAATCATCTTAGAAGTTCTACTTACTTAAAAATGTTGAGTGCCAATAGCTTGTTCCCTCTTTTTAAGTTATTTAAACTTGTAATTTTTGATTAACATTAACTTTTTGCAGGTTAATTAACTGCTACTTAAAATAATTAACTCAGAGTTACTTAAAATATGTGGATTAAACATGGATTTTGTTTTTGTTAAAGAACTGAACTCAATTAAATTCAGAGATTTATATTTGTAAATGTATAAATTCTCTCTCTCTCTCTCTCTTTCCTTCTCTCTCTCTCGCGCACGCACACACTAAATAAGTATGCTTTCACCGGAAGTGCTTTTATTTTGTAGTATTTGCGTGCGTTCAGTAGACCGGAGCCGACGAGCCAAAGAAAGGAGCGGGAGACTTAACGACAAGAGTACACTAAGTTGTGAATGTAAGTATCCAAGAAGTTGCTTGAATGTTTGTTCCTTGGGGTTAAACGTGTTGTTAAAACCGACAAGGTAAGTTACGTTAGCCGTTTTGCGTGGCTAACCGTTAGACGGTTAGCAAGCTAACATGAAAAGTCACCCTGCCAGTTAGCTGTAAAGGCTACGTGGCTAGGCAGGTAGCTGTAAAACCTGGTGATGCCTAAGTTGCAGTGGTGGATAGTGAGGTATCACGACAGAAGCTAACTAAAGCACCATGTGCTGTGCATTTAGCTAGAAATTTAACTTCGGAAAAAAAGTCCCGTTTTGTTTTTTGAACTTTTTGGAAAGCTAGAGATTGAAGTTATTGTCTGAAAGTTAATTTAGCTGATTTAAAAAAAAAATTTTTTTTTGTTGATTGGTAGGAAAATAATTTATGAATGATACTAGCCCAACTTTATGTAACATTGAAGTAGTGGTTAGCGCGAACGACCCATGTATGGAGGCCTTATATATAGAGATATCTGTGCCATCAATTTGAGCGCGCAGGAACCAATCCGAGCGCGCGCAAAACCGGTCTGGCGCGCGCTCAACTCTGAAAAACCCTCTCTAAACAAGCTGTGTGAAGCTGACACCCCACCCAAGTCAAAAAACTCTGCAAATAGACTGAATTGTTAGTGCAACGTTAGTGCAGATTTGTGCAGAAAAAAATATTGTTTGTGCTACTTTTGTTTAAGAGATATTAAAGATTATTTTTTAGGTCATCCAGAGGTCACCATCCCCCCATTAAACTCCAATTTGAACCAAATTGGTCTCCTTTTTAGTGCTTTTAAATTTGTGCTATTTTAGTTTTTAAGATATAATCATTAAAATTTTTGGCTGATGACATCACCATCCCCCCATCAAGCTCCGATTTGATCCAAAGTGGTCTCATTTTTTAGTGCTTCGTTTGTGCTGATTTGTGCCGTTAAAACCAACATTTGTGCTGCTTTACTTTTTAAGATATAATAAATAAAAATTTAGGCCGGTGACGTCGCCATCCCCCTATTAGAGAGCTGCGGAAGTGAACAAGTCAGCAGCAAAGGAGTCTCGTCTAAGTTAGTTTGAGTCACCTATGCATGTTAGTGGATGTTTCAAGTGTGTAACTGATATGTAAGTCATCAGTTACACACACTCCCTGTAAAGTCGTGTGAGGACTTCAAATTTGCCAAACGGTCAATGCCGTTTTAATAACTCTAACATTTAATGCCATAAGTTACAAATTAAAGCTTGATGCATTTTATTTAAGCATAAAGAAGTTGGTTAATTGAAATGACACTCAATTGCCTACGTGCTGTGCACTTCTAACATCATCCTTCTGGCGCATCTCAGTTATTTTTTTAAACCAGTTTCCTGCTCAATGTGCGGAAAATAAGGGTCAACAATGTGAATACCACTATATTATTATATCTTAAAAACTAAAATAGCATAAAATGATCGTTTTAACTGCACAAATCAGCACAAACGAAGCACTAAAAAAGGAGACCACTTTTGTTCAAATTGGATTAATGGGGGGATGGTGACCTCTGGATGACCTAAAAAATAATCTTTAATATCTCTTAAAGGGATAGTTCGGTATTTTTGACATGAATCTGTATGGCATCCCCATCACCAGCGGCATGCAATCACACCGACTTACCCCTGGCAGCGTCCTGTGAGCAGAGTTATCGTCCAGTTTTGGTCAAGCCGAAAGTAGTCCTGCAGGTTTTTAGGAACAGCGAAATAAAACTTTTCTCTTCCCAAAACATTATGTGTTCAAAAGAGTGATATTTTCGCATCCCAAAAACATTGTAGTGGAAAAAGTCACACGTCGTTATCAATTGGTCCTATTTTCTCTCTGTTCGTATCAGTGCGCGCCGTCATTCAGAACCAGAACCAGAACCTCCCAAACACTTTCTATGCCCAGCTTGATCGGCACACTCCTCGCTTGATGGCTTTATTCAGGCAGAAAGCTTCCAAAACTGGAAAGACTGCTGATGCTTTGGCTTACATTTTCAAAGTCCATGATGCACAGGTGATTATACATTTCACAGGTCTACTGTTGGTAGTTTATTGCTTAAAATAAGCTGTTGAATTCCATAATTGCATCAGATGAGTCAGCAGGCTATCATAGTGGATTTGTGTGCAGATTTTGGTAATTGGTAATTAGCTGGAACTGTTTGGCATTGGCTTTAACTAATGAACTGTATTTGCACTATTTTTATTTTCTCAGGAAATACATGATGTCCACACGAGACGGACCACTGTTCTCCATGCCCTTCCTGTTTATCTACGTGAGGTAGTTTCTGAATTCTTCAGATCATGTGTGGTAAGTCTCAGTAGAGAGATCTCAGGCCTACCCAGTAGGGCTTTAGAAAAGTCAGCTGCAAAGAAAATCAAGTAGCCATCATTAGCCTAACAGTGGTACACATAAAAGTCATCTCTCATTCTCAGCAAACAAGAGCACAATGCAACAAAATGAACAGGAGTCTTTTAGACTGGTGTATTTATTTTTAATAATAGGACGATCATCTGTAATCAAAATCGCTTCAGCCATAGTTTCTGTGAATGTGATTTAGTATATGATCCCCCTTTCATTTTTTTTAAGGACGGTATGGATGAACCAGACCTGGGGGATGCATCAGTGGCCCTACTTACAGCTGTCAGTGACGATGCCGCAAGTCCAGTTCACTACCACCCAGTGAGAGTTTCTGTCGTCCTAGAGGGGGATGTGGTTGTTGACCTTCCCAGGCTTGCTGATGCCTTCCTGGTAATATTTGGACTGATTTATGCTCTACACCTCAGCTATCCCAAGGGACTCACCAACACTTTTGAATTCACACAGAAAATCTTGCTTGGTCTTGATAACTCTAAACTATCACCTAAGCTGCAGACTCTTAAAAATGACTTGATGTTATATGTGTAACTCAAGACCCATAAAGTAGTGGTGGATTCTGATAGCTCACTCTGTTAGAGCATAGTCCACAGTCGCCAGGTCCATGTTTGTTCATTGTTAATGTTAAAGTTCTGCTCTACTCAACTGGTTTTCAGCCAAATGGCATAAAGTTGACGCTGCCTGTACTTTAATTTTGTTTTTAACTAATACAGGAGTGTATTAAGTGTTTATACACATACAGTATATTCTTAATCTTTCTTGAAGTTGCTATAAATAAACCAGATACAGTTCTGAATTTTTTGCATATTTGGTTGTGAAGAATTTATAAGCAATTTGTTATACATTGCTGCACTGCAGGTTTACAACCAGATGGCCAAAGGTGTGCCTTAACAAATGTTTCTTATGTCTGTATGTAATTCTTTTTTTTTTTCTTTTGTCAGTTGTTTTTCAAATATTGGTTCATATGAGCAAATCTCTCTAAACCCCTGGTAATGTTGTTTTAAAAGTTTTCTAAATTATTTGTGACAAAGATCTGTTCTTATGTAATTTAAACTTTTCTGAGTTTGAATATTTTTACTATGGTTTATGTTAAAAGATAAACAAAATGTCCAGTATACTTGTTAATTGTTTTTTTTTTATTTATATATATTTTGTGTTTAAAATACAACAGAAAGGTGTATGAAAAAATTCAGAATAGAAAAAACCAAATTATTTTTTACTTTTGTGTCAAGAGTACTTATTATCTTTAAGGCAATCAGTTGCCACAAATATTTTAAGTTTGGAGTGAAATGATTTTGAGTTGTAACAAGTCTATGCTTTTGAGTCATGTTTAATGAGAAGATTGAAAGAAAAAACTAATAAATGTTAAGTTCATTGAACCTAAAATCCCGAGTCTTCATACTTGAAATTATTAAATTTGCTGTAGTTATTTCAATGAGAAAGATAAATAAATATTCTGAGTAGAATAAACTGAAGAATTTTGAGTTGACTTGATTGATAAATTTAATTAACTTTTAATTTTAATTTACATTTCAAATAAACTCAAAATATATAAGTTATGT